AGACACTGCAGAGAGAATTTCCTTTCCAAAGAGAATTCCAGACAATATAGTGCAACAGTAATTGCTAACTACAATTAATTTGCTAAAAAGAAGTCTAAGTCTTCTGCTGTGTTTTCAAATGTGAATGGCACAATATGTGTAGTGAGTTGGGGATTGAGAAGGGAAAATTTTCAGCCTCTGTTGTTTCACACACACCAGCTGCACATTTTAGTTGATGCAGGTCAGTCCTCAGTCTCAACCCTGGCTGCAAACGAGTGTTTATCTGCTGCCCGACCGCTGCCTTCTGCTGTCTGCCATGGTACGTGGCCTCTATCGGCAGCCAGGGTGTAGCTTCCTCTGGCCATTTCCTCCTTCTCAGGCTCGTTTCCTCTGGAGCCTGCTCTGCACGTCAGGGGCTATTCTCCCTGCAGGAGGGGTCGGCTTGCAGCCCCATGGCTGCTTCTGTTTCTGTGGCGCCTCGGGTTGGGGCAGCCATGTGTTAGAATGGACTAACAGCTTTCTCCCCTTCCAGGGGGGAGCTGTTAAGCCCCTCCCTCCCGTTAAACATTATTTCAAAAGATGATGATACTTTGCAGGTTTTGCCCAATCCCAGGACCGTGGAAGGAGGGAACATGCTCAGTTGTGCGCTTCCTGGTGTCTTTACATGTGCACAGACTGTCTGCAATAAAAGGAACACAAGAATCGTGTCACAAAAGTAAAAGCCCAAACACACGTGTAATAAGAACTCAAGATTCTAATCATTGTACCTCATTTTAATACACATTTATGGACATTTCCTTGTGAGCAGGATTCCTATCTTAAAGTTAGCATTAACTCTCCTTTTAGTCCAGCTGAAGCAGAAGACTTTGGAAGGGTTTCCCCAGCCTGTGCAGATGGGATGATCTAAACTGGGGACAACCTTCAAGTCCTTTTATAAAAATTCCAGCCTTATCTTAATTGAACCAAGAACAGAATATGTTTCTGTTTTTTGTTTTCCATAGCTCCATCTAGAATAGGCAATGAAGGAAAAGGCTGCAGGGCTGAGAGTCAAGAGCCTTGGGCAGAGACAGGGCTCTGACCTCAGACAGCCCAGGCAACTGGCCCAGGCTGGCAGGGCAGGAGGCCATTCTTCTGCTTTTATATTCTGATGGGAGGTTTCAGACACAGGTGGTGTCTTCTCCTTGAGAGGGCGAACAATGAGAGGTCACGTCTAGTGAGCAGGAGGACATGGAAAGGGGACTGTGGGTTCCTAGGATGTGTGGAAGTGGCTTTCAGGCTTAGCTACCATTGGAGTCACCTGAGGAAGTTTTCCAGTCTGACTCCCAAACTGTTCTGAGCACTTAAATCAGAACGTCTGCTGTGGGACCCCAGTGGCAGCAGGTATTAAAGTTTCTCTGGGCCATGTCAACCAGCCATTGCTGCACAGTCACAGAAAACTGCTGACAGGGCCCCTCCCAGCTGAACTATAACCTCACACTACACGTAAGTTTTGCTTTTTTAATTTAGTACCCTGATTTTAATAACTTTTTCCTCATTTGTTGTACTCTGCTTGTTATAGAAGTGTTATTGAGTCAATGGTTCTTTTCCATAGAGTGTCACCATGCCTGTTTTAAGTTACAGATAGAAAGTCTTCACACTCTTTGTGGCCGTGGCACCACAGCTCCAGAACCTCTTCTTGCTCACGTGGCCCCTTTCCTCAGCCTTCTTTGCCGGCACCTCTCCTTCTAGCACCTGCTCCTTCTTGACTGAGGGAGTCCCAGACTCTGCCTCTGATGCTCTTTCCTTTGCAGCCTGCCTTCCTTTTCTCTCCTCATTGCGTTGTTCTTCTGGTTTTTACAGCCATCTCTTATGAACAGCTCCTTGACTGCACTGCTACCCGCTGGAGGAGTTCTAGGGCTCCTTCAGCCTCTCCCCTCCCATCTGGCCATCTAGTTGTTATTTAGCACAACTGTGTGTCCTGTAGTGATAAACAAGACTGGTGGTCCCTGCTGTGGCAGTCTCCACTGACTTAGAAATAACAGACACATCAACAAATAAATCCACATGCTGGGAGAAGTGCAAGGTGAGAGTGAGTTGGCACAACTACGCCACCTGGTCAGCCCAGTGAGGCACCAGAGGAGAAAGTGACAGGAAAGACTTCTCAGGTGGGACGAGAGGCTGAGTTCGTTTCAAAGGATTGAAAGATCAGCAGACAGTAGTGGGCGTGAGACAGTGTAGTCTGCAAGGAACTTCACAAGTGCCATCTGGTTAGAGCAAAGAGTTGGATTATGGGGGAAAAGGGCAGGTGGTGTTGAGAGAAGAAGGTAGAGAGGGAGACAGTGATTGGTCGTAGAAAGCCTTCATCCCATACTGAGCAGTTTGTGCTTGATAAGGAGACAATTGAGAACTTAAGAGGTGTTAAGTGATGAGATATCTATGGTTAGAAAGGCCCAACTTGGCTCGGCGCCTATAGCTCAACCAGCTAAGGCGCCAGCCATGTACACCTAAGGTGGCGGGTTCGAATCCCCAGCCCGGACCCGCC